TGCAGATTCGAGTTTTTGTAGGTTCTTCTCGAAAGTGAGAATTTTATTGTCAATTTATTAGTATCAGCTTTTTCTTCAATGACTTTATATTCCCAATATAATCTTCTTAATTCCCAAGTAATTTCAAATTACATCATACCGTAAAGATTTTTTTTTTTTTTACATATTTTCCATCGATCAAGCGTCCACCATCCACGTTGTCTCTCAAAATTTCGATTCCTCAACTCCGAAATAAAATCGATTTCTCTGATAGAAAATTTCAAATTCACAAAGTATTCAAAACGCCGTCTTACGAACGAGCAACGATTGAACGTCGCAGACGTTCGATATCGGTATCCGCGATCTGTTTGAAAGATCGGCTCCATAAGGAGCGTTGCGTTGCGAAGAAAGAAAAGGCGGTTGTAGAATGTGAAAGGGATACAATGTGTATGATGTGGACGATGTAGAAGTTATAAAATACGTGACGGAAAATCGTGTCAGTCGTATAGACTCGCCACTGCTCAACTTTCTCGCACGGTTACAGCAGCTTTTTTTCCCAGAGTCCTTCGTCAGAGAGAGAGAAAAAGAGGAGAGAGGAGGAGAGAGAGGGAGAGCCTTTCACCGGCCACGTTCGTTCTATCGATCCGCCATACTGTTCTGTCGAGGAAGTTGGATGTCCTCCATCGAATCCTTCTTTCACCAAGTTTTTCGATTCTGGATACGATTTTGATCTGAGCGAACGTAAGATCATAAAAATCGGTGGAAGGAAATTTGTTTGATCTTATTTGTCGATCGATAGGATATTCAGAGATTAAGGTTAAATTTTCTCAGAAATTTGAAATTAATAAAAAGTAAGGAGATTTAAGTAAAATTGTTGCAAATAATTAGAGAATAATTGAGTATGATTGGTGCATGTATAATCTTTATCATTATTAATTAGGCTAATTCTAAAATTTTATTGGATAAATTGCATTGCTTTATTGTATTATATTGTTACATGACTTAGACTTTTAATTTTGCTATGCAAATTTGTAAATTTCGATGAAATTTACAGACGCATTAAGAATGTGATAAAAATTGGTGATTGTATACAAATGAAAATAATATAATTTCAATAATTATTGGTCATAAGACAATCTATAATGAGTATCATGCATGAACACGATAAAAAAATTAAGAAAATTGTGCAAAGAAAAATTTACAGAATATACTTGAATAATTATGAATCTAATAAGGTGTTCTTCAGTTGTAGTGAGTTTAATCTAAATGTTTCTTACAAATGTTCTCTCTCTTGTTCGAGGGTGGTACGAGCACTGTTACGTAGTGGCGAAAGAGTGAAAATATTGGCCAAGTAGGCGCACCCAGAAAAGCTCTGTCGTTGTGTTTGAAATTTCAAGGCTTCTTAAAAAGAATACGCCATGCTTTTACTCCGTTCTTCAACTTCTCAGCCCCGAACAAATACATGGAAAAATTCAAAATCCGGTCTAATTTTAACAAGGAAATCTAAGAGAAAAGGATCTCAATTCTCTTATTTTCACGTTCTAATTTCTTGCCTTTAAATTTATCTATTTTTAAAATTTGTCGAAGATCCCTTTTAAGTTAAAAAAAAACGTAGAAATCTTATTTCCTCGAAAATTCTATTCAACTCCTCGTCTCTTGATAAATTTTTTCAATTCGCTAAATTTGTATAAAAATAACTTTCGTTCAACTCTAACAATTTCATTTACAGCCAATTTTTCCCACGATCTTGTTCCAATTTCTTTCAAACCTATACTGCTAAAAAACTATACACGTCGTTTCGACGGAATAATGGCTATAATTAAAAGAAGAAAAAAAAGGAGAAAAGGGAGGGGGGGAATCAAAAGAAACGGAGAAGAAAAAACGATAAACGCGGAAGCTGAGATTTTTTCTTCTCTCCCGCAATGGCTTTTGTTCGAAAAACTTTTTCCGTTCGACGATGGTTCGCATTGGAAATGAATCGTGTTTGTGCATGCATCGGAAATGAATAATCCAACTTTTCGAGCGAGCTCCTATTACAGAGTCGGTTTTCACTTTGAAACTTTTATCGGCGTGGATCTCTTCTCGCCTGTTGTTCCACGATTACGCGCCGTTAACCAGCAACAAAATTTATTTCGAGAATACGAAAATACGCGGTTGTTGATGGATGACGATGATTCGATGAAGAATTCAATATTGGATAAATTTTTCACTTTGGAAAATTATCCTCTTTTATTTCTTTCTTTTATTAAGCGATTAAATGAATTCAAATTGATTTGGAGGGAGCAATGCGAACCACTTATACGCTTCACTTAGTTCGAAACGTTGTTTCAAGCGTTAAGTAAAGTTGGAATCCTTTCAATTTTCTTGAAAGAAAAAAGTTGTAATCGTGTATAATTAATATCTTGAGATAGACATGCCGTGTAAAAGATTTTTCGACGATGTTTCGATAGGCATCTATACTGTTTTCAACTTGAGTTAATTCAAGTTGCTTGAATATTCTCGTACAGTGTTATTTTTTTTTTTTTTTTTTTTTTTACTCAAAATATCAAGAACATAAGCGAACATATTTTATAATTATATCTTGTTCCGCGTGATTTTCGGGCGAATTTATTTTAAATGTCGCGAAAAAAAGGAAGAGAGTGAAGAACGATGAAACGCAGGTAAATATGTAAATATCATCCAGCAAGGCGCATGGTTCTAGAAAATAAATTAAAAATAAAGCAATAAAGTAATCACTGGTTGAAATATCTTTCTCACTTCTTCAGTTATGTAACGTGCCTCGCGTTTATTACTTATCTCTCTTAATTTCTTTCTTGTTTTTCGAAAATTCCTATCTCTCACTCTTTCAAAAACGTAAAAAAATCGAGGGTTCACGTTACAAAAAGAAGAAAATAATATTCAATATTTTACTGGTCGAATATACCGATAATGCATCAAACAAATATAGAAATACACGTGCATTTTCTGTCTTCATGATTTTATCCCAGAATTTATTATCCGTCAGACATATTTTCTCTGTTGCTATTAATTTCCATGTAAAACGCAAATTTAAAAATACCTATTTTACGATCCAGAACGTTGCAATTTATACAGTTACTCGCAAAAATTATACATTTTAATTCATTGATCGAGATTATCATCAAAATCAATCCTGTTTTCTAATGAAACGTTGGAAATATATGAAACACAAAGGGTTGTATAAAAGAAATAATTTATTAATAATGGAAAATAAGTAAATGAAATCAACTCTCAATGTTTCAATCTCTTTCTTCATTCTCAAAATACAATTTTGCAATAACAATAAAAAAAAGCAAAACTTAACATACAACATATAATAACATATTCAGAGATTCAATACATTATTCTCTTTTAAAAAAATTTCCCAAACAAAATTGCATTCGATACATGTAAAACATCTGAATGATTCTCTTTCAATTATACAAACAAATTTTCATTGAAATCAGAATTTTCAGAATTTTCTTATACGAAGAATTTTGCGACCGATTGTATATCGAGCGAAAATTTTCACTTGAGGATAGAAGTTTAGGTATATATACGATATCAAGTATCGTGCCAGACACTCGCACAATACACCCACGACACGCGAAACTCCTTTCACGATGGCCAAGGGTGTTGATGAGGGTTGCTCGAGTCGATACTCGTTTATTATAGATTTTAACGTGAACGCTCGACCCGGCTAATTCCATTTGTACAGTCCTGGCGCGCATCTGTGTGTCGCTGACAATTATACATGTCGAGCTCTTATTACGGATGTCGTTGAAGACAATATCGGTCCCGTTGTAATCCAGTTTTCCTAACAATACGCGTAAACGAATGCAGCGCGGCCCAACTGAAACGACCGGCCAAGTGAATTTTCCACGATCGACACAGGACTGGTTCATTCTCATTCTCGTTCTCTCTCTCTCTCTCTCTCTCTCTCTCTCTCTCTCTACTAACTAACGTAAGT